TCCATATTATTTTCTGGTAATATGTACCCAAGTCATGGGTGTGAGGGAATTTGCCAGGGCTAGCCCTTTTGAAAATGCCACTTTATAGCAGATATGCTATAGCCTCACTTTGCACTTCATGTTATTGTTGCTATTTAAAAAAATCACACTTGTTGCCCATTGTATTGTACAATTTGCATATTTGACTTTTTTCTGTCATATAAGTTCATAAATTTGCACTCATGGATCTGGTCACATCATTCACAGGTATATTGATTAATGGGCAGGGTTGTTATAAATAATGAAATATGTATGAAATATGTAATGAATAAGTAAATGAAATATTAGCACAATGTTGGCTATGACAGGTTAGCATCAGTAGCTTTCTCTGGGAAGATGAACAATTTGTTGTATGCCACCCAGAGTTGCTTTGTGTGAGATGGGCGGCTAAATAAATGTGATGTAAATAAATAAATAAATAAATAAATAAATAGTGTTATATGTTTAAGCCCTCTAGAAGATGGCCCTGGTGCTCCACCAAACTTGTGCAACCAGCTTTATTTGCTGGCCTCAAACCTAAGTCTGGTTTAGCAGGTATCTTCAGGCGCCAGCTACTTCATTAAATGATAAAAACAGCATCACACCACTGCACCATAAGCTCTGCCACTTTTGGATGTGTGTTTGACTCACAACACACGTACAAAAAAGCCAGGGCTTGTGCTGTGCTGCTGCTTCATCAGACTGACTGATTTGATCCCCTCTGTGGATCAAACGTGGATCAAAATGGAGAATGGCCTGGATGGATAGAGATCCTCATGGATATTTGACAGATATGCTCTAAGATCCTTGTTTGTCCTTATGTTTTACACCTATGAGATTTTCATGACATTTTTGCTCTGTCACTTTTCGTGAGAGATTGTAGGCAGTCTGGGAAAGTAATAGAGGGAATTTTAGTCATAAAGAGCCAAGAGATAAGAAGTGAATCTGTTGGTAACTTATTTCATAAACAGTAACTAAATCCAGATATTAAGAAACCTGAGAAAAAGTTATTCAAAATGTTCTGAGACTCCCCATCTTAATGAACTCACTAATAAAGGAAAATTGGAAATTCCCTAATACTACTGTTAAAGACACCTTATTGAAGTCTGTGTAATTCTTGCTTTCTTGTCCTTGCCCAGTTGCACTGGGCTTGACAGTTATTGCAGTAGACATTTCCATTTAATGGAATATGAACTTTGATGTCTCCTTAGGTGGTATCATGATAATCTTACACGCCATGCAGCAGAAGCTCTTCTTCTTTCCAATGGCAGCGATGGAAGCTATCTCCTAAGAAAAAGCAATGGCAAGACTGCTCTTTTTTCTCTTTCTGTAAGGTACAGTATTATGAATATTTCTTACATTTTTTTCATGTGAACCTGCTCATATTTTGAGTTCAATTGCTGCTCTCTGTCCCACTACTGTCATATATTTAGTGGCTGGTACTACAATAGTAGCTTATTGTAGTACACCCAGACAATCCTCTTGACTCCATTACCGATCAATTTTCACAAGGCAGTTGGGAAATGCAATTAATATGAACCCAAGTGAAATAGCTGCAATTTAGGAGCATTTACCTTGGACTGGAATACACACTTTAAAAACACACACACACACACACACAATATTGGAGGTACAATAATTGAAATATTCATGATTAATCTGTTAATGTTAATTAAAATTAATGTGCTTAGCATAGTATTGACAGAGATGACATCAATATCTTATATAACATTGTGCTAAAGCAGAACTGGAAACTCATGAACTACAGACTACATGCAACCCCTGAGACATTATTTTTGTAGGTTACATGTACCTGCTTGGATTTCAGCTTACATGAAAAGCTTACATTCAACTTACATTAAAAATAATGACGGTTTGCATAGATTGGTTTGTAAAATACTGAAGTCTCAAGTACATGCAAACTAGAGTGATCTTTCATTCATTAAAATTTTGAGATTTGTAAGAACATGAATTTCAGTCTGAAATTCACGTTCTTACAATGATATTGCATTGGTTTCAGTGATATCATGATGTATGAAACCAGAATTATTATATGCTTACTGCTCCTATGAATGGATAAGAGATAACTGCATTTTGTTTAGTTATACAGATGAGAATCAGAGGTACAGATTAAACTATGTTGCAGATAGGCAAAGTCATCACTTTCTAACCAAAGTTCCAAACCTGCAACAACAGGACTGAAAGAGTATATTCTGAATGTTGATCACAAGTTGTGTTTGATTACAGGGGCACTTCCATACTAACATTATTTTTTACAAGCCCTTTTAGAATGATCTGTGATTGTCTTAATTTCTATCTATTTGAAATGCTGAGAACAAGAAGTGAAAATACAATTTTATAGATAAGAGATGAGATATGGGAAGAAGAGATCTTTTGTTGGATTTTTAGAGAAAGCGATAAGTTACTATGTTAAAAGTAAGGAAAAGGAATGTAAAGCTGGTTTATTTGATTAAGGTTAAAATATATATGTTGTTATCTCTGGTAACTCTTAATGGACCTTTGCTGATTAGGTTTGAATGACAAGGCTTTAAGAATTTGTTTATAGATAAAAGATGAGATATGGGAAGAAGAGAGCCTTTGTTGTAGTATTAGAAAAGGTGATAAGTTAGTGAAATTGTTTATACTTGTGATGAAGGTGAAAATCTCTTCTTTGTATATCTTTTTTCATATTTATTTATTTATTTATTTTTATTTTTTTCTCTGCACTTTTTATTTTATTTTATTTTTACTTTTTCATATTTTTCTTAGTTTGTATTAGTTTATCTTTGTACCTGTAAAACTTCAATAAAAAATATTATTAACAAAATTAAAATACAATTTTATTCCTGCTCTTGTCTCTTGGGCTACTGAGACAGAGCTGCAAAGCCATCAAGCTAGCATTTCCCTTATAAGATCTGAAGCTGAGGAACTGGGAAGAGGAGTAAAGCAATAGTTCCTGCAGTGGAAAAATGAAGCTACTGTATCTCAGAATAATCAACAGCTTCACAATTGCAACTATAAGGCAGTTGAGCCAGAAGTAAATCCGTTCAGCTCACCAACGCGGCTTAAGTTATGGGAACATAGAAGACTGGAACTGCTTTTAGTCTGGTTCAGAATTCTTGTACGGAAGGGTCCCAACTTCCAAAGTTCCTGGTCAGCATGGCGAGTTTTAGTTCAACATACTTGCAAGGCACCAGGCTAGTGAAAGATGATGTACATCAAAGGAAGCTAATGAGTGGAGTAATATAATGTGAAACTTAACTTTTGCACCCTTCAACGTTTCTGAAGGGTGGATGGTAGGGAATACTGTAGGCCATAGGCTGCTGGGAGTAAAGCAAACATGAAGAAGTTCCTTATGAGAATAAGGGAGTTTTTTGTTGCTAACCCTTTTGTATAGTGGTCTTCTGGAACCAATACAAACAGTTTGTACAGTTCAGCCACTTCCTTTATTTTGTTTCAGAGCAAAAGATTCCGTAAAGCATTTTCATGTGGAATACACGGGGAATTCATACAAGTTTGGCTTCAATGAATTTTTAAACCTGAGAGACCTGATCATGCATTTTGCAAATCAGCCTTTAATCGGTAGTGAGACAGGTAACCTAAATTTTATTTTTATCTGTTTTGAAATATTTTATTGTGAATACTTTAATGTAAACATTTTATATTGTATTTTTTACTTTAAACCTGAATTCCTTTTTATATCCTCAGATTAATTCTCCCCTTTGTACTTTTAATAGATTCCTGCTGCCTCTAACAAAGTTCTTCATATTTAAATTAATATCTAATATGTTCTTTTTGCTGTCAGATGCTAGGGCACTGTATTAGTGGTCTGTTACTCTATATTGTATACTAGAAAACATTTCCTAATAGAATAAATGTTATGTACATCATGGATTCAGGATGTGAGGGGAATACAGCACAAGTTAGCATAGAAATCACAATAATTTTAATTCAGTGCTTTGCGAAACAAACTTTTTGGTTCCTTAAAGCCTCTTGCCATGAAAGGCCAGGGAAAAGAATGGCTTCAAACGAGTAAGAAGCAAACCAGATTAGTATGCTACTGATTCAGAATGGGCTCAGGCAACTAGTAATTCCAAATCAATAACGGAGGGGGACAATGAAAATGGCTCTTTAAAAATAGCAAGCCCCACCATCCTCTTGGAGAACTCTTGCTCCCTTGAAAAGTCTTGACAAGTTACTGATTTCCCATGAGACAGGAGATGAAGGTCCCAGTGTATTCTTTCTTAACAGCAGCCAGGGAATGCTTGGAAATGAATTGGATGAGCAATGTCTGTGCTGAGAGAGACTGTTTCTTTTTTCCTTCACCAGCCTTCTCTGAAGAGGTGCCTTCCAGGTGAGCTGGAGTGCCTCTTCCAGAATTTCCAACCAGCTTGGCTGGGGATCCTGGGGAGTTGTAATTGAAACAAATCTGGTGGGTGTCAGGTTGGGAAAATTATTTTCTTAAGCTAAAGGGGCCTTTCTGAAATTGCTATTTCCTTTACTGGGGTTATGTGATTCTCTTTGTTACCAGAGCTTCATTACATTTCTTGGCTCAGTTCAGCGTTTTGGTTATGATCTATAACGCTCTCTGTGACTTTAAGATCATCTAGGGAGAGGAAGTATGTTTAGTATGAATGTGAAAGGGGCCTTCTTGGGGGCTAGTTGCAGTTTTGGGAACTCCTTGCCAAGAGAGGAGAGCAGGATGATTCCAACTCTCTTTTCTTTTTTTTTTCTAGCAAGTGAAAAGATTTTTTATTCAGGTAGTTCTGTGACCTACCTTTTTGCTGAAATAGATTTTAACCTGGTGGGTGACACTTCTTTGTGTTTATGAACATGCTAAAATAGATGTGTCTTATGTTTTAAGTGTAACTTTTTCCCTTATTTATTGGTTGTCTAGTGACACAGAATAGTATTGTTAGTGGAAAGTAGGATATAAGTTTAATTAAAAAATAGTTCTAATAGAACAGTTAGAGAAGTGATCAATAATGCAGGTAAGTAAGTTAAATATTTCTTCCTTCAGTATTTCTCCTCTCCTTCTGTTCAAGGTTTCCTTCTACTGCCTTTTAAATAAAAGGTAAAAGGTCATAGAAATCCAGACACTGGCTGTTTGCATAACCAGTAGTTTTGCCTATTAATAACCATATGCTCTATTAAAATCCCTGACCCTCTTTGTTTTGCTGAATTGGTTCCACAGAATCCCTTCCTTTACAATCCTTCTTTTGAAACCTTTGGATCCATTCCTATTCAGCTTAAACTTTTAAATTTAAACCATCTTGATACAAATGTTTTTAGTTTGCTTTGGCTAACGCTGTATGTAATACATTTGGGATAAATACTGATTTTCTCCTCATTTAGTTTTATTTGACAAGTAAATATTTGAATGCTGTAGATCATTCCAGGTGGCTAAAGAAAGTACTTCAGAACATAGAGAGGCAAAGAGCTCTGAGATATACATTGAGTTAAAGGCCAGGAATGGTTTAATCTTGTTCAAGTGTCAAGTCTATTTCCTGATACAAGTGTTAAAACTCATTGACTGGTCCCAACTGTCTCAGTGCCTCGAAACTTGAGCTCTGTTGTTACAGTTCCTAAATAGGTTTGCTATTTAACACAAGATATGCTTCAGATTTTTGATGGACAACTATTACTGGAACAGGTCCAGATGAAGAACAAGCTCCCATTATCAACTCATTATGTGAAAAGTAAGATCAGTGGGCTGAACTTTTAAGAGTGCGAAACTACCTGGCCATCCTGAGAAAGGAAAGGATGGTAAGGAGCAATCAGGTCTCCTGAGGTTTTTTTTTTTTTTTTGTTTTTTTAATAGTACCACTTCTGTGAGGTTTTGTTTAAGAGAATTCTGCCTTTGCGCAAATTAGATCCTACTGTACTTTTGTCTGAATTGCTCAAATGCTCTGCTTTTCTATACTCAGGATAAGGGTTGGCACTGTGACACTGGGATTCAATTTAAATCCATTTGAGGATTCTCTGATCTATAGGACACATACACATTAGTGGGAATGCTTTAAGATGAGATAACTCCATTGCCCCTGCAGTGATCATTCCTGTCTTTTTCTCCATAGGTCTTCACTGACCTAGACCACAATTTTGACCCAAGAGATTCTATCTCCTTAGTTTATTCTTTGTTGCCCTTTATTAAAAGGACAAACAACTAAAAATCCATTTCTTGATGGCTCCAAAATTCATTGTTTCCAAAAATAGAATCAGTTAGATCAAGGGCAAAATCAGAGGCATATTAGATATCAACTTTGCTAAAGCTAGGCAGATATAACTTCCATTAGTATTTGGATGGGAGACCATGTGACATCTTATGAATACTGATGTAAACTGCCTAGATGAAGTAAAAATTTCTCACCACTCACTGATATCAATTTCTTGATGGCTCCAAAATTCATTGTTTCCAAAAATAGAATCAGTTAGATCAAGGTCAAAATCAGAGTCATATTAGATATCAACTTTGCTAAAGCTAGGCAGATATAACTTCCATTAGTATTTGGATGGGAGACCATGTGACATCTTATGAATACTGATGTAAACTGCCTAGATGAAGTAAAAATTTCTCACCACTCACTGATATCATCCATCAGAATTTTATTTGTTCGAGAACCATAGAAACAGCCTTACTCTTTCAGAAAATTCATCTACTCCAGTCCTAAACTAACAGAGTTTGTTTCTCATGGCTTGCATCCTAGATGTACTATACATTATTGCCTAGGAATCTGCTTCCATTGTTTCTCCTCCTCCTCCTCCTCCTTATAGTTTATTGTTGGTTCAGTTTTAATGTTTCTAATGCACCTTGTACATTATTGTAGTTTTCCTCTACCACCAGCTATCCTACCATCTGTTATATCTGTTAACAGTGAAGAAGTTCACACTATATATCAGTGAATCTGATCTCCAGTGTTGAATGATAGACTTGGCCTATGGTTTACCAGCTCCCAAATCAGATTCTGCTGGCTCTGTGAAACTCCTTTCATGTACTTAAAATGGAAAGTGTCACCAGCTGGGAGATAGGTGTCAGACCTCATAATACCTATGAACTTTTGACCTTCCATGTTGCTTTTCTATAGGAAGCAATACATAGGAAAGGAAAGCTGATACCAGAGAGAAAGAATTGCCATTTTCATGTACTAATAGCCCAAACTCCACAAAGCAGGTTTAATGGATTTAAAAAAAAGCAACTAACCTTCTCTTTGTATTTATAGGATCCCCAAAGCTCTTTAAGTACTGTAACATTTTCCAATGTGGTGCTCTACAGATGGGCTGAATTTCACTCCCATCATTCTTAACCAGTTTGGAAATCAATAGATTACACTGCCCTTTCTGGAGGCTAGAGAAGAAATCTGGAATAAAACTCTGTCATGATTACAAATAATGGACAATTTCATTTGAAATATCTATTATTTCATTTGATTTTGAAGGTCAAATCTCCCTTTATAATATGAGGCAGGGCCTAACTTAGCCTTCCATCAAAGGGAACTATGTTTGTACTGCTGTTCCTGTGACAGTCCATAATATTTAAAAGCACTTTAAACATGAACATGATTTTAATATTTATTAAAAAACAAGTAAAGTCTCCTTTGAGTCAAATTCAACCAGTGATTTCATGGATATACCATGTAGTTTTCTTGGCAACAATATAGAAGTGGCTTGTCACTACCTTCTTCTGGGGCACTTGTTCAATTCCCAGACTAGCCTACAACTCTGGGATTCCCTGGTAGTCTCCTCTCCAAGTAATAACTTGGTTAGGTTTTGAGATCAGGTAAGCTATCTACTGTATGTACTGCCACCTAGCTGGGCTTCATATTTATTACCATCGCTTTATTTATTATTTAGTTGGAAAAGAAGGATGCCTAAATACACCAATCTGTCCAGATACTTCTAGGTATCCATGTAAGTTGAGATATTTTGTAGATTGCACTTTTTAGGTTAGTGAGGGCCAAGCCCAGAGTGGAGCTAAGATGGACCTGAAGGAGATCCCAAGAGGTTTTTTGTGAGTCTGAGTTAGAGGAAGAAATATAAAACAAAAATAGGCAAACGTGTCTGATACTTTTTAAAAGTATCAAAAGTTTTTACTTTTTAAGTATACAGTAAGACACTAGACTAGAAGATCTAGGTAAATGTGGTGAGTGATACCTTGTAATGGCTTTCTAAGGTCATGTTGCGCACTTTTTTGAAAGCATCCTGTTATGGAAGGGAAAGGGCTCTCTATAGACTTCTATGGGCTATTTAGGGCTTTCTTTCTTATAGGGACCTTGACTGTATTGAAGCATCCATATCCCAGGAAAGTAGAAGAGCCTGCCATTTATGAATCTGTGCGAGTCCACACGGCCATGCAGACAGGAAGAACAGAAATTGACCTCATTCCCAGTGCTCCATCGGTGAGTTCCTATTTTTACTGGTTGGACTACTGATTGAAGAAAATAAAGCTTTCCATAGCCTACTATGGAAATAAGATAAGGTTTTGATTAGAACTGAAGTGATTTCTTCAGAAGAAAGCATCCGGTCTGGAAATTCTTGGGGTTGAAAACTTGGCAAATCTAGAAGACACCAGCTTGGGAAAGATGGTTTTAGAGAGAAAATGCTCTTCCCCCAAATGGTGCATTTCAGCAATTAGTGTATCTCATAGGATACAGATCCATGAATATGAAGGCTGGGATCACACAATGCTTTAAATTTTAAACCTGTTTAACAAAACACAACCACTGTGTTTTGCTATGCATATCATATGCTATGCATATCATATGCTATGCTTAACAAATAAAACATATTATGATTCAATGTGATATTTTAGTTCACACAATATTCTAAGTTAATGACTGGATTTCTCAATGATGCAGTGAACCACAGATGACCCAATTCCATTTTGCCCTAATTGGGGTGCTGTGTAAAGCCATCTGAATTTTGATGAACAGAGGATGCTCAGTTGCCTATTGTTTGTTTACAGTTTGACCCATCTAAAGTATGTATCTTGTACATTATAATCAGTACCCACTTAATACATGTTGCCAGAGGGAATATTTCATCCGTCAGTGGAATTACTTTTGCATGTGTACCTTAGGTGTACATTGAGATTATTCTCTTCGCAAAGAGAGCAGGTAACTCAGTTATAAGAGAAAAGGAACAATTACAAGCTGAAAGCTACCAACCTTTTTTGCTGTGTCAACCACATCAAGACTCTAAAAAGACTCATGATTGAGATGAAGGTCTATCTGTCTCTGTCTCTGTCTCCTCCCTTCCCCAACTCCCCACCATCCTTCTCGACCCTTCTAATAATCGTTCATCTCTTTCATTACAGTTAGGTACTAAAGAAGGTTATCTAACAAAGCAAGGCAAAATAGTTAAGGTAAGCAATCTTAAAGTTTTTCTGTTTCTTTTTCCCTTACACATGAAAAGCCGGTCTGTTAAAACATGCTGAGGAGCAGTGTTTGAAAATTATATTGGGCATGTTTGAGGAAAATAGGGCCTGGAAAAAAAAATCAGACTGTACAAGAGCTGAGAATGGCTGTACTGTTAAGGTAGCTTTACCTTCGCATGGCAGCTTCTAGGCATGTTGGACTTTCATTCCTATATTCTCCTGCCGGTATGGATGGCTCCCTGGATATGATGGGAGTTATAGTCCAAAGCTCCCGTAGGGTACCATATTAGTGAAGGCTATATGAAGCAGAGTGCCATATGAAGCAGCCTTTGGTAGCTGATTTTGAAAAGGCAGCAAAGAGTACGCTTATTTAAAAATGCATTTTTTTTCCTGCTATGCTGAAAAAACTCAGCTTTCAGCAGGAATGTGATGCCCCTTTTTTATGTGCATTATGGGTATGGATGCCATCTTGAGCTTTTTTAGTAGTATTTCTGCCAAAATATGTTGGCGGTGTCAAATATTCTTCTCTCGGTATCATTTTTAGAATTGTCTCTTCATCTCCCATCTCCTCCACAATTGTCCCTTTCAAAATCAGATGCGGCCACCCCACTTTTCCTGCTTTCAGACTTGCAGTCTGAGATGACTGCATGGACCCATGAAAACTGAGGGTCTTCTAGGGCAGTTTTTCTCAACCTTCGCAACCTTAAGCTGTGTGGACCTTAACTCTCAGAATTGCCCAGCCAGCATGTGGGACATACTGATATGGGCCATATCAAATCATAACCACACGTGTTCAGTGAGCTATGGGATTGAACAGCCTCTGACCTAATGTTAAGTCTAATGTTATGTGGGGTTATTATGAACATATTTTCTTATTCTAGAACAATTATTTTTATCATAGTAAGAGAGAGAAAAATAATTTTATTTTGAACGGTTGAGCGACATGATTACAAAGAGTTATTATAGATGATGATTCTATTCTTAATTTTAGATCCAGCATTATATCAACTTTGGAGTTACTGTATATTCACTGTATTGGCTGAGTTGTCTTTTGAATGATCTCAGAGCAGGAGCTGGGAACTGGGAATAAGCAGCCAACTTCAGCCTTTTTCCATGCTCTGTGTTTAACACTTTGTGAGTTCATAGGCAAGACTACCCTTATTTTTCTCCAGTCTCTTTTAAGCTGTGTGTGGTCTGCTCACTTCTCCTTTTTCATGTAGATTCATCTGCTATCTTTTCCTCTGTTCACATCTCACATTATGTAGGACGTGGTTGCAACACCCTCTTCCTCTTCACTTACTAAATCTGCTTTTCTTGCCTTCTTTACTTCTAGAATCTTCTTCTGATCCATCCTGCTATTGCATGTCCTCTTTTTCCAGTGCTGCTGAAACCTCATCTCAGATAGCCTTCTCCAACTTGGTGCCTTCTAGATGTGTTTGGCACCTGAAAAGTTCCAGATTAGGGAAGGATACTCTGTGGCATCCCCAGGCCTCATTTAGCTATCTTCCTGTTTCTTTCTTATCTTGATGATGCAAGTTGCAGTTCCTCTATCCACTTAAGTACTTTCAGTACAGCTCCTAGAATAGTACGGGGAATGCTGTATGTGTTAGACAGCATGGCAAAGGGAGGCTTTTTTCCAGTACACATTGCCCCTTTCATGTTGATTTTCTTTAAATGCCGCTTCTCTTTATTCTTTCAGAACTGGAAAACTAGGTGGTTTACATTGCATAGGAATGAGCTGAAATATTACAAAGATCAGACGGTGAGTTGTCCTTTACCTTGTTGCTCGTGAAGCTGTTCCCTGAGAGCTAAAGTGAAGGAATCAACTGGATTCTGTAAATGCTCTTTGTCCCCATGTTTTCAGAATAGCAATTGCCAAATCACTGCCTTTTTTATCCATGGTGAGTCAGTTCAGTTAGTGGGCTACACTTACATTCCATCCCTATTGTATAAATGACTGCTCTTCTCTTATAGTAGAGTTGGGAAATTCAGACTGCAAATTCTTCCCTAGCCCCCATATTCTGCCCTGAAATTTGGTGGCAAAAATTATTTTCTGTGTTGTAATTTCCCTTTTTTGAGGCACCAAAATAGTTTCCTTAAGTCTATGCAAGGCTTAATAAACCTATTTGCTATGTACCCCTCAACCCTGCAAAATAAAATGGGGTTGCCCTGCCCCACTGATACCACCACAGCGGTTGATACACATCCTGTGGGCTTTGGAGGCCAATAATAATTTTTAAAGCATGGCCCAAAAATGTGGGCTGTCACTCCTTTACAGAAATGTACCCAAAAGAGGCCTAAAGCCACACCAGGAAAAAGCTACATTCATTATTATTGAACAAGAAAGTAAAGTAACCCATGTGTGGATTTCTGTTTTTAAGGTCTTACTCCTTCCAGTTGTACTACAGTCTTTTGCAATGTATTAAATCAAAGTTGCTCATGGGCAACCCATGGCCTCTGAGCTGTAGGCAGTCCTGGTTGCCCTTCCAGCAGTTTGCAGAAGGGTCATCTTGCTCAGCCTGGATTTCACACAGCAGATTGCTGGGTATTCACAGGATGGGGCAAGGAGGTGCATGTGATGCTATGAGCATTGTGATGTCATCATCCTGCATTTTTTGTACAGTGATGTAATGATGCAGGTGACATCCAAGGCATACAAGTTTCATAAATTTTTATTATTATCATTATGGCTTGTACCATATGCTGATGTCCAAGACGACTAGACTAAATTAGGGATGTGACATCCAAGGCATACAAGTTTCATAAATTATTATTATTATCATTATGGCTTGTACCATATGCCTATGTCCAAGACGACTAGACTAAATTAGGGATAAACCATCGTTTATAAGTCAGGTACCAAATATTTTAATCATGTGCTATGGTTGGGTTTGGGGAGGCAATACTTTGCAACAAATGTGTGATCATAATATGCATCTGGCTGGGCTGGGATTTTCAGATTCTGTTCACAGTCCTTTTTTTTTTTTTTTAAAGTGTGGCTTGATTTTGTTCTTTGAAATCTGTGCAAAATCAGTTTTATACACTACACTTCCTGTGTATTTCCCATTTTAAAGTAATGGAAACTGGACTCCTTAATTTTGGGGAGGGCTCCAAACCTGCCCAAAATATGCTTGGGAGGCAGTTAGGTCTAAATAGAAAATCTTTTTAGGGTAAATGGTATGCGGTTTTTGTCTTGCTCAAAGAAAATTTGGGTTTTGGAAAATATACAGCCACACACTCATGTACATCCATGTTGCCACTTGTAGTGAAACTGTTTCTTGACAGGTACAGTATATCGACTCAGTGTAGGCATGCTGGGGTCAGAAAAGTCAATATGACAGCTACAATGGCGTGGCCAAAGTCCCATCACTTTTCGTGTGTTGCAACTGACATCTTGACTTTTGTGACTCCCCAGGAACTGCCCCCCCCCCACGTATATATGGAGCATAGGTTATACATGAGCTGATACTACTGACTAGTGCAACTGTATGTATGGAGGATTATGGAATTAGAATTAACTTGCGCTTTATGGAAGGACAAAATGCATACGATCTGGGATGCACCAGGAGACAAGGCAACTAAGGAACGAAGTGAAATTGCAGAATAATCTTTGTGTGTAGGGTCTCATTTATTGTTCTGCTTCTTACTTGGTGTCTGTGATGGGGCGAGGTCAGTAACCCATTTTAAGTGATAAAACAGAGCAATTGTTTCAAAAATAACATTTTTTCAAGTCCACAGAGCCAATCAGAGCACTCGATTTAACAGAATGTTCAGCAGTACAGTTTGACTATTCCCAGGAAAAAGTAAATTGTTTTTGGTAAGTCGAGGCTTAAATACAACTTTGGGCTCCACTGGTGTGTCTTTTCTTTCTTTAAAAGCTTCTCAGTGCTATTTTGCATAAACTTTTTCTTCTTCACATTTCCGTTTTCCCACCATGGCAGAAAGCACCCCAGCGCCGCCCAAATCACTTTTACCTCTCATGAATTCAGTTAAGATATTGTTCTGCTCTTCCTTGATTTTGCAGCTTGCCATCAGAACTAATTGCTTCCTCCTCTCCTTTTGTTCCTGTTTTTGAACAGCTTTAGACAATGGCTGTGCTTGAAGTCCAAGATTCTAGTTTCATTAAGAATGAGAGTGAACTCATGCACGCTATTTGATTGCTTAGCTCCTCTTGCATATTTGTACTTGCTTCAGACTGAAACAAAAAGCTGCAGTTTTAGTCATCAGAATGAACAAGCTCAGCAGCAGCTTCCACAATTTATCTATTCCCACTTGGCCTTTAGGATACACTGGCTTAGACCTACTTAGGCATACTTGTCTTTCAACTCAGTGGACTTACTCCCATTGAATTCTATAGGCCTAGTTTAATTATAACAAAATATGCATTTAAGTTATAGGTAGTCCTCTTTTAGCAACCACAATCAGTACCAGCAACTCGGTCATTAAATGAAGCGGTTGCTAAGTGAAACCGCAACTGTGCTTATGATCTTACTTCAGCTTTCCTTTGTAAATGCGAGGATTGGTTGTAAAGTTATTTTTTCATCACCACTGTAACTGCAAACTGTCTCTAAATGAAGCAGTCACTAAACAAAGATTACCTGTACTTTTTTTTTTTTAAGCAGCCATAACTTCCTCTATTTCTCAGAAAGAAAGCCAGGACATGCCTGTTGTGGTTTCTCCAAACTAGAACCCCCTCCCCAAATATTATGGCTAGGCGTGATAAGAGTTATACTCTAGAAGGCTCCACATTTGGTAATATCTCTGATTCATATTGAATGGAGCACTTTGGATGCATCTTTACTGCTGATTTTTTTTTTTTCCTGTTTTGCTTTTTAACCACTATTTTGCTATTTGACCACTATTATTCTTTTTTTTTTATGATATGGCTTTGGTCAAATTTCAAATATTTATGCCAATCACTTTCTATTCTTATTGGGAAGAAAAGTAGGATTACTTTACTATTTAAAATAAAACAAATGGTATCTTAAGCTTAAGTTTCTTTGGAAAAATGGAATATTAGTATTGGAGATGACTATTGTTTCCTTATATTTGTGATACAGAATTTTTACAATATTATATTTTACAGTTTAGTATTTCCAATGCGGACATATTATCTCTATGCAAAGACTGGAGTAGAAGCAGATGAGTGGATTAAAATATTGCAGTGGAAATTGGTAAGGAAATATCCATTATAGAAGATTTGACTAGAATTAAGTGGGTAGTAGTATGGTGACAAATAATAGTTCGTGCTGACTGGGCCGATTTCTATAATTGAATTCCGCCACAGTAGCCTTAGTCATATTTAAAAGAGAAAATTACATCACACATACACATAGACATGTTCTCTGTTCCCCACCCCAAAGAGCCACAGGTTGCTTCTTTGCTCATATTGGCTCCAAGTTCAGTCCTTGGTATCTCCAGGTGAGGAATAGATCTGAAAGTAGATGTAAGCAATTGCACTCTGTACAAACAATACCAAATTAGATGGCCCAATAATGTGACTTGATATATGGCAGTTTCCTATGTTCCTTTTCCAAAAGCAAACAAGACCATCCTAATCATTAGGGTCCAATGCTTCTTTGCATGTCACAGAACACACTGAATTTCACTTTCTCAGTAGTGCATCCCTGCAACCTTCCGGAGCTTAGCTGGTGCAGGGGATTCAGTCATAATGGAGCCCTTCCCCCAAAGCTGTTCTTTGGACTCTAGGTTATCCTTTGATTCTGCACACTGGTGCTCAGTGGTAGCCACACTGCATTAAAGCTTTATGACACAGAAACAGCACTCTTGCTGAATGAGGAGGGTGATTTGGTGAGGAATTGATTTGGATTAAATGCTAAGTGGAGAACCTTAGCTCTGGAAGAAGTGCATTATTTGCCTTTCTGATAGGAATCAGAAAATAAGCATGAGGCTAAAGTTGCAGTGGTTTGTTCAAAGCTTTTTGTCTCAAACCTCTTTTGATCTTTGAAATCAGCAGGCGTATGGGGTGATGACACCCTCAAGCCAGAATTGTTGTTTTACTTTTTCCAAGTTAAAATATGTAAAATGATCCTTTGAATGGCGTTATGAGAGGCTTAACCTGCTTGCTTTAGTGGTTACTTTTAAAAGGAAGAAGTACGTTCAGAATTGGTAAGTGTTCACCAAGTTTAGTGATTCAGTCTGAGAAATACAAAAAAGAAGTTGAGAAATGCTCAAATGGCTTGGAGGTAATGTTCTTAAATTCAAATAACCCAATATGGTCATTTTTATGATAGGACCCGTTTTTTCAATTTTTGTTACCACATTGACCTTCCTTTCCTTTCCCTAGTCCTGATATCTTTGTTTCTTATCAAACCAACCTCTTTCATCTTTGTTCTGTCAATCCTGCTTAAAATGTGTAATGCTGAGGAATCTTGTCCATTATTGGCCCTGTTGTGGTGTTATCTGTTTAGTTTTATTTACTCTTTTTATATCCAGCCATAACAGAGACTCCCAGTGGCTTACATTTATAAACCCCCTTGAATATTTACTGCAACAATAAAAGACAGCAATATTAATAAATAGCAACACTGTAAATATGAATGCAAAGGTGACTGCTTTTCAGTCCCCAGATGCCCTCCATAAGAATTGCATTTTCACCTGTTTCCAGAAGGCCCACTATGAGGGTGCTAAGCTGACCTCCGAAGGGAGGCTGTTCCCAAACATACTACCAAGGCTGGAAACCTCCTGCCAGTCAATTCAGCAGCTGCAATATTGGTGTCATGTCATTATGGCAACCTGGACTTGCTAACGTGAAAGCCATTACATTGTGAACTAATTGTATTTTCCAACTGGTCTTCTGGGTGGACTATAATTCCCATTATTGCTAGCTACCGTATACTATTTCTACAATAAACTGATTAGAGATGATGAGGAATTGCTAGACTATGTGGAAGATACCAGAAGCTTTTAAACTACATGGTATTTTATATTTTAAGTTATTTTTATTTACAAATTAATTTCTTCATTACATAAACAACAAATGTTTTCTCCCCTTTTCATTTATCTAGTCACAGATAAGGAAACAACAACGCCAGCATGATGCCACACTCAGGCCATAGTAATTCTGGTCACAAATTAACTGTGCAGAAGCAGACATTGGTTCATATTAATATTCCTTCAGATTTGTTATTCAGCATTAAGAGGTGCTGCACTGGATCAGGTCAGAGGTTCTTTAAGCTCAACAGTTGCCAACCTGCCCACAACCTGCTGCTAGGAAATTCCTGAGCGCCCTGTTAAAGCAGAAGATGATTACCTTGGAAGATGGATATTCACCCATATTTCACTATTTTGGATATGCCTGGTGACTACTGGCATTCTATATTTGCCTTTGCTGCCAGGTTTTCACTAGTTCTTCCTATGTAAGCAGTTTCAGTGGAAGTACCTGGATTGTTTCATAGCACAAACCTGAACGGTTGTGAACCCACTCATCCCTGGCTGTAATTCTGTATGCTCCAAACCATTTACACTGTGGTCTCTAACCGAAATTACTTGCACACTTTATTTTTTAAATAGTTTTGATTTCATCTGTGGCTTTGACTGGTGTTAAGAATTATCTGCTAAAACGTCTAGATAATTTTCTCAGAACTCCTGTTGTCTGACTTCCTTGATGGGCAGCCTTTCTAAATAATCTTCTGCTAGCGGAGCTCATTTCTATAAGCAATTAGATGTTTTCGTGCGTAGGAAGTCTGTTATGCAACATGAAGTGCTACTTTAAAAGTCAGCCCCAGGCTTGAGAAGATGTTAGCACTGTGCCTTCTAGAAACTGCTTTCTGTGTTCATGGCCCCCATTCATTAGTGGCTGTACTTTGCACCTGATTGCTGCTGTTTTAAATTTCAAAATGCCACAATGGATACCCTCAGTGCAGTCAGAATTGTACACATCAATGTGGCTGTGTTCCAAGAAAGTAGAGAAACTGCACTTAGGTCTCAAAACATAGATGGTAAGGTGTATCTTCAGCTACACTGTTTAAATATTTTTGCCCTGTATACACAGTAGAAACTGATGTCTACTAGAAGCTTTATGCTTAAATGCACATCTAATATGTGTGTTCTGATCCTGGTTCAGCAATATATTTTCTGCATATGTTCAGCATGCTTAAGCATATAAAGTCATGGAAGGGAGAACATACCTCCTTTGCTACATCATAAGAGACCTGCAAAATCAAATCATAAGTTTGTGTAGCATCTTATTCCCTCCAGTTGTCAACCAATATCTTGGGAAGGATGAAATAAAATTTTCTGTCAGTGTATGCATTTGACATACTATGATGTTCTATGCCAGCAACTCCAAACCTGTCCCATGCAATTCTGGAGGCCAGAGAACTTGGGTTTAAAGAAAAGTAGCACAAGAAGAGATACAAAACAACCCAACACATTCAGGAAATAATTGGCATACATGTATAAATGGCTAGAGTTACCATTTTTAATTAATTTCCATTAATTACTATTTAGAATTAATAACATTTTAAGAGTTCTAAAATACATACTGCTAACTAGGGCTCTCTCACTGGCTAACATTTTCTTTTTAATCTTGTAAAACATTTGTTTTTTTCATGTGTTTTATTATTTAATATGTTTACTACTATAGGAACATTTCAAAATGTTATACTGTTGTCAGAGTTTGTAAAGACAAGAGGACCGTGTAAATGAAGGATTGTGCAAATATGTATTGGGAACAATTGTATCATATTTTGTACTTTTATTATAACATTTCTAATAAACCAGGAACAAAAAGAAAATACAATTTTAGCTGTGCAGTGAATAAGACAATGGTGGTCATACAAGTTTTTTCAAGCTTTACATAACTAATCTTGAAAAAATATTAATCCTTTCCCAATGGGGGCCTGAGGTTAGGGTTAGGCTAATGCTCTTCATTTAAATGAGATTACTCCCCACTCCTGGATTCTGAAAAAAAAGGACTCGCATACTCTCTTGGTTCAGCATTTCTCAACTATGACAACTTCCAAATCATAGAATGTAAGAGTTGGAATGGATCTGAGATATTAGCTACTCCACTTGTTCTCAATCTTGGCAATTTCCAGTGTGTAGATTTCAAGTTCCAGATTTCTCAGCAATGCTGGCTGGGGAATTCTGTGAGTTAAAGTTTACACATCTGGAAGTTGCCATGGTTGATAAACAGTGCTCTGGTCCAGACTCTGTACCTGATCTGTTCTTGACCTGAAGCCTATTTATTAAGGGTACAATCCTATATACAGCTACTAATGTCCTATCAAAGGTAATGTGGCTTTCTTCCATATATAGAATAAGTTCCTTTATGTCCTTCTATACTTTCCAAATTTCAAATGCTTTCTCTCATTTAAAAAATGCTCCTAGATAGGGTTCCATGTTTTATTTTTTACTCCAAGGAAACAGCACTATATAAAACAACATACTGAGATTAAAGACAGCAATAATGCTGCTTTGCAAGATCTATCTCTGTGATAAAGATCAGACTATATATCTTGTCTGTTTCTTTTATTCAGATTTGCTTAGGAACATATAAAGCCATATAAGTCAGCAAAGTACCATAATTACATGTATTCAAATCATCAGTTTTATAAAGAATACAGAAAGAGAACACACTGATTAATTTGACCTCTCAAAAACAGCTAGCATGTAGCTACTTTTTTAATCTTGAACCTTAACATTCTGCTATCCAAACAAAGAGTCATTGATTGCATATCAGCATTAACATAACTTTTCCCCATAATGTTCTCCTTCTAAGCATAAAAGGAAGATTTGACTGCAAAATGTATGTTTGCACTAGTCTCAGTTTATCTATAGACAGAGGCAATGTATTGCTTGGACAGTGAAAAAGTTGTGGATGGCATGTTATACACAAAAAGTATCTTTCCTGGTATGAAGTGTGTGCTAGCATGAAGTTAACTCCATGGGAGTTGTTATGCTCACTAATATACCCAGCAACTTAAGACATAGAGGAACAGCTACGGCCCATTTATCCCAATCTTACCTTACATTTCAGTCCAGTATAGTTTTTAACATACAATAAGAGAAAGTGACATTTTCTCCAAGACATTCATTATACAGTGTGAAAATGACCGAATCTTTCCCAGTTTGATATTGAAGAGATGCTGCACTCTGGACCTAAATATCGAGCTAGGAGACCTCCACCACTTGCCACAGCTCTTCAAACAAGGGAGCAAGCTCTTTTTCCAGGCTTACAATCAGTCCTACATAAAGACACACAAGGAAGATGAGATATAAAGGTTAACTTTTGCCTCTCAGGCAGAAATGAAAGCAAGTATGGGAAGACTTAAATTCCATATTAATCTATTGGTTCAGAAGGGCAATCTCCCAGCTGACACCTATAAACTAGATTCTGTACAGAGGAACTACTGGATCTAAAACTGGCACAAGTGGGAGTTGCTTCACTTTCACAGCATTAAGAAGAAGTTACTGGGGTGCAAGGAGCAGTTCTGCTATCATACTTGCTGAGCCAGCTTTAAAGAGGCAACCTGTCGCAAACTACAAACCAACAGTAAGCAGAGCTGAAGTCCTTTCTTTACTCTTCTTGACTGAAGCTCGGTTCGAACAGACTGCAGACAACGGCACAGATTGCTCTTGTTAGACATCAATTCAGAGAAATGCCTGAAGTTAGGCAGAGAGCTGCATGTAACCTCAGACCAAGATTGCCCTGGCATAGGGAAACCTTTCCTGTGGCTTCTTTGGGCTAATAAGAGCAATTGGGAAAAGGACGGAAAGGTACAGACTTGTTCATTTAGTATTCAAGGCTTCTCAGGGGATTCAAAGTTCCTAATGCTCTTAGGCACGACATAGATTTCCCTTCCATTCAGAGGAAAATTGAAGTGTTCTGTTCTGCTACCAATCTTGGCAGAGGATAATCTGTGAAAGCTTTGATATTAGGCTTTCCTTATGTTTAGCTTTTACTATTTAAGGACAGGAATAACTGATTTCAAAATTCTTTGCAAAAATTGTATATAGCTTTAAAAAATGTGCATGGACCTTACAGTTTAAATCTAAGTATTGAAATGCTGAATACAGCAGTGCTTTTTGATTCTGAAAATGTACCTGTATTGGCATTGCTGCTGGCAATAAAACTCACTACCAAGGGAAGTCTATTGAACTGAACCACCTACAAGAAAAGAAATACAACTTCAACATTCAGTGTAAGTGTTTTGTTATGGGCAGTTTACAAGCTTGGGTTGTATATAGCCAGGTTGAGCCGACCACATGCAATTATCCATTCTCCATTCCCACCCCTAAAATAATGAAAGTGCTGATAATACTTTTTACGTACATTCATATATACACACATACAGTTACACACGATCTAAATACGTAAATGAAATATCACAATACCCTATTTCAAAGGAACGTTCTGGTTTCTCTTTACATGGTATAAATCTTTCATACTGGCTGGGTTTATACATTGTGATAAGCTACTGTTTTGAACATACTTTGTTAAACCAACTATTGAATCCAGGTTCACATAGCACACAAAACCATAAACCCAGGTTGACATAAACCCACAGTGACTTAGGTTCATGCACGATGCCAATCTAACCCCCAATAGTTTACGTAATAGGCTCTAACAGATTTTGAACAAACTTATCTATGGCACCTGAACAGGTCAAAACTTTTTTGCAGCATTTCTAAATTTATTCACTAGCTGACATTCTCGCTAACAAGCAAGCTCATTGTTAATTTCTTACCTGGTAAGTGTTGTAGTAACAGATTATGCTTTTGTTTTTGGAAAGCCCAAGCTTGCTGCCCTGATCTGTCGCAAGCGCAAATGTTGACAAGAAACCAGGTCGAAGAGCATGCTCGGGGGCATTATCATTGGCAACTAGAAGAAGAAGGTATTTTGTAATTGTCCACAGAATAGGCAGGAATGCAAAGCATCATCTTCTTGGATAGCAGTATAAACTCCTGAGTCCTCAACATCCAGACAACAGTGCAGATCTAGCAAGATATAAAAGCAGTACTGGCTGTCAAAAAGCATAGGCCAGTTTTCTCCAACTTGGGTGCCCTCCAAGTTTGCAGATTCAGCATGGCCTATGCTGGGAACCTTTGGAAATTGGTCCATTTATTTGGAGAGCACCCAAGTTTGGGAAACAGGATTGGCTCTTCCTGGAATATGGTACAACTGTGACCACAGCAAGGGAGGGCAAGGAATACTGCTGCTCTTGCATCAGTACATTCCAAAAACAGACCGACTGCAGTCCTCGGTGAAATACTGTTAATTAGAATCCTAAGTATATAGTTCATCAGTGCATTGTTTTTAGAAGAGTTTTATTATAGTTTGATGTACAGCTTAGCTTTCCGTATGAGTTGCTTTCACTCATCACTCACAGAACATGAGACAATGAGTCCACACTGTTACTCAAATTCAAAGCACCAACAAAAAAAAGTTTGCGTACGATTTCCTCAAAGTCACAGTTTCTGTAAGTCACATCAAGGAAATGCATCATGGCTGATGAACTGGTATTACACTTCCAGCTGACCTACAACTATGCTGAAGGCCAGCAGGAGTTGAGCAACAAAATCATGAGTTATACACATGCGTGCTTGCTAGGTTATACTGAAAATTTTCCCTTTGGAATCAGGATGAAGCAGATTATTACAACTTAGATGTAAGAAGGATGAAAACATTTTACTTTTGCATCTCAGTTTGGTTGGAATGTTGTTGTTCAGCAGGCAGTTCAATACCAAGCATACAGTAATCAATTTGCATAAGGACAGTTCACCAATTTACCTATCTGTGATTACTCCTTACCCTTCATTACTGGCACACCATCTCTGTCTGATACTACAATAGCATGAAGTCCTTCAACACTGAAAAAGAAAGAGAGTAAACCATTTGATTCTGCTGCCTCCTTGCTTTTGCCTTTAGTTAATAAATATAATAATTTAAAACTTGCTACTAAGTTTATTTTATGGCCAAACAGAAGTAATTTATTGGGGGTTTTTTACGCAACTTTGGGTTTCCTTATGGTGTAGCTAAAGTGACTCCACATTTTATTCTCACAACAATAAACCTTGAGATAAGTTAGGCTGAGGGTGTATGACTGGCAAAAATCACCCAATTAGATCTTTGGGTATATGGAAACTTGAATCTTGGTTCCCTGGTCCCAGTGCAACATCTGAACCACCTGAGATGATGAACTCACATCAAATAACTTTTCACAATTATACAGTTTTCTCAACACTAAACAATATTTCATGCAGCTTAAAAATGTGATGAGTTTTATGTTCCTGTTCTTGTTCCAGAAAATGGTCTGAAAGTGCTTGCTTATTATAGGTGCAGCTCAGAAACTAAACAGATTTTAGTTCATTGAGATTGGCTGGGAAACCCATGAATTCTACCCAGAATGCATGGGGAAAAAAGATGACTGAAATGCCATTTCTTCATTCTGTTTCTATTATCAACACTTTTAAAGCCACATAATGTTTGCAAATTAAGTTACTAAACAGTTGCTGGCAACCAAAGAAGTCCATATTGTATTTTGTGACCACAGAAAGTTGTCTTTATACTGAGGCAGTGCACTGGCTGACCTTGCCCACCACTGTTAATGGTGGTTTTCAGGGTTTCAGTTTAGAGGATTTCCAGCCCTACACGGAAAAACAAGAATGGAATCTGGGAGTGTTTGCATATGTAGCATGTACCTTTTCACAAATCAAGGCTCTCAACAAGTAGAAAAAATCTCCACTATGAAATGGGTGATCTACATTTCTGTTCTTATCTTCCTTCTATACTATGCACCCTCATTCCACATCAAAGAGAGCTGTAACAGAAAGGGATGGGGTAGAAAAGAACTCCTATATTGAACTGATCAGACTGCAGTTTGTAATTTGGGGCTGTCAAAAAGGAAATCTTAGCTTTAAAAGCAGCCATTACCATTCTTTCTCTCCAGCACAAAGAAAACACCCCAAATTTGCAATTCAAAAAGTCATTCAGAATCCTGTGACATATAGACATTTCTAATACCATTTATTTCAGTCTGGACCAGCCTAAGCCTTTGGCTTTATATCAGGGATTGCCCTGAAGCAGTTACATATTTGGCCAAAGGTTTGGAAGGAGCAGCCAGATGGACCTGCAGCTGGACACTTCATATACTAGGGGACCCATCTGTAAAACTAATGCCAGCCTATAACAACACCCAAGTGAATCCACTAGTGTCATTAGAAAAGAAGAGTGGAAAGAACTGCAAGACCGTTAGAGATTTCTAAAACTACTCACGGCGTTTTTATACTGATGGCTTTACATGCTTATATGGTATAAAAATCTATAACTGGACAGTATCTTTATTAAAACCTACCAAAAGAAAAGAAAAGAACATACAACTCGTTGAGGTCTCTGTAATTTTTTATCAGGTAATGTGGTACAAAAATCTGGGACCGTATGCACTTTACGAGGAGTTTGGAGAATGTTAAAGGAATGTGCATATTCTTTTGAGTCATTTTGGTTGATCCTAATAAAAGTATTAAATATGAATGTGGGATGTTTTCTCAGGGCTACTTTGCAGCCCTCACAGTCCTTCCAGTTACTATCAGGTTGTGATTTTAGGTGTGTCATAACAGAAAAACTATTTTTATATAGAAGTAATAATTTAGTTTTGGTCCTGCCATATGATTGAAATATCATTTTCCCAACCCGCATATAACTCTATAATACAGGTTCTCAAAGCAAGCAACTTTCCAAGATGTTCACAAAGTTTCCTCTATAAACACTAATAATTTAATAGCAAGTTCTGTGGAATAAATGGAATTGATTCCTTAATCCCTTTAGTGGATAAATGTATGACTGCAGTTAAAATCTTAGTAAAGATTTACAGAAATGTGAAACTCAGGAATGTAAACTGTAAGTCTAAAAAGTATTTTACCTTGGTAGTTTTTTATACAGGAACCTTTTCAAATCCTAGAATGAAACAAAGCAAGCAGCTTTTTTTAGCCTCTTATGTTACGTATAAGAGATTACACTCCTTAATTTTTGAATTAAACTAGATTTTGGAGAAACTGTTTTGTTGTCATTTTAAAGGATGGTATTTGTTTAGGAATTACTGCCAGGAGTCATAAGCTCAGTGATTATAGGCAAGAAGTAAACAGTACTCTATCTTCCCCTCCCCAACTCCTGGGCCACCATTTTTAAATGTATTTCTACCAGTGAGCTGCCATATGGGCTGATTGTTCTTGATACGATTACTTGTGAATTATTTATTCAATATAAGTTACAGACTAGAATAAGCTAAATATATTTTATATTCATAATTACACACTGGAATTTTCAATTATTCCATAAGTATTAGTGGAAACTATTCACTATGTAACTTGATACAAAAGACAGCTTCTAATCATTAAAAGGATTTTCATACTTACATCTGCCATGATATCCAAAATATTATGAACTGCCAGCCCACTGAAAAGCCAAAATGATATATTTTTAGAAAATATGATTTGTTTTATGTATGCATACAGGATAATAAATGTCCAGTATCCCTTACTTCAATCTGTACATCTGATTAGTTTGGAGAGGATCACACAAATAATTCCTGCTTAGGAAATCAAAGCCTATTCTCACAGACGCTAAATCTTGGATCAATTCATCCTATCTCTATTCTGTATGAAACTAGACAACAGTTTTATGTACAGCACTCCAACTCTATATTAAATGTGTATCATATGATAGCTGAAAAAAACATCTTGCCTCTTTTCAAATAAAGAATTAAACCAAGGTTTGATAGAACACTGGGTTGCAAATAGATGGAGGAAAAACAAACCAATAATTGCTAAAGAAGCTGTGATCGCTTTGTTTCTATGCAAAACTGATTAATGGTTTTCTTAAGAAGCTACGGTTGGGCTGTGGTTACACAACACACTAAGATATGGTTTAACTATAATTTATTAAATAAACCACACTTTGCTATGTTCACACAGAATACTAAGAAGGGAACCACATTTTGGCTCAGAATTGGTATGAATCTTCCCACTAATTTGCAGAAAAGCCAAATAATAATAATTTTGCAACCCTTGGCTCATTCCCTTTCCCTCCAATCTTTTCTTTCCTTATCTGATTAGTATCAGGAAAGGACTAACTTGACTGTATGTTTGTAAGAATCATTTTTAGATCCCCTGAGGTCTATTTGTGGAAGCTGAGAAAATATATATGTAGGAGCCTCTATCACAGTACCCCAACAGAAGTGGATCACGGCAAATCTGTTAGCCTTTAAAGTGCCATCAGCTTCTTTGGTCTTTCTATTGCAAGCAAAACATAGCTACTGGGATTGTGCAATGATCTGGATTCAAAGGTGAAAAGTGACTTGGGGTTTGAGAGGTTAGATGACCCATTAAGATGTGTTCGTTGATTGTTTTGTCTGGGTTTACCCTTGTCAGCCATTGTAGGCTATTACCTTTTGTTAATGTTGTTTTTCATTGTTTTTCACATGTTGTTAGCCAACTATTTAATTTATAAATAAAATAAATGCATGGGCATGCATGTTATAATTGTTGGCACTTAATTCAAGCACATCTTTCCTAGGGTCCATTGTACAAGCTCATGTGGAGATATAATAAAATTAAATATAATAAAACATATACTCACGTATTTAAATATGATTCTTTATGTAGCTAACTGGCAGGATTATATTTGTATAACTTAGTGCCTAGTACTATGAACCTGGCCTGGAGACAGTTAACATAAACCAGACAGTTGTCTTTGTAGGCAGGAGGAATGGAATGGTGTAAAAGGACACTACAACATAAACAATGTTGTTTATTGTACATGTCGAGAATATCAGGAAGGATACTACAAGTGTGAAATATAACAGGGAGGTCAATTTAATAGCTTATCAAAGCATTCCAGAAGAAGAGCTGCAGTGTAATTGTATTAGTTCTTTTATCTTTCTGTTTCAAATGTAATTGACCAAACATATATAATCTACAGAAGTGTTGCACTTGGGGCTCTCTCTCCTGTTGTCTGCTGGCAAGGAGACCGGTGATCACTGTAAGCTCATTCTATCTCCAAATGCTTTCATTTCTAATTTAAGTGAGTGGTTTTCTCGCAACATTCAGGAAAATTTGGGTTGCCAACAGATGCAAGGTGCATACCCTCACACAGTTCAATTCACTTTTCCCCTTTCAGTCTAGAGCCTTAATATCTATCCCTCTAGAAAATGCTGGGGAAATCTGTGCTTCTCAAGTTTAGTATCAATTACCTTACCCAGGGCGTGGTACCTTTTACCTCCTAGATGGACAGTTTTGCTTTCTTAGGTTTCAAAATAGATAAATGGACAGAATGCTGGAGAAGAAGGGATAATCCCTACAGATAACAATGACAAAGATCCAGTTACAAAGCACAGAGGAACTTCAGTGCCAACAAAGATCCAGTTAATGGAATGGCCTTTCTAGTGGTAATGCACAGCTGTGAAAAAATATTTTTGAATTCTGGATTTGGAAAGGGCAAACATATTGTGGATTAAAAGAAGGACCCAACAATTTTAAAATAAATAAAGGCTGATGGAGCAGGTGGCATTTTATTTTTTATTTATTATTGTAATTTTAATTGATTTTAATTGTTTTGTAAACCACCCAGAGTCCTTTAACGAGATGGGGAGTGACAAATTCGATAAATAAATAAATAAAAAATAAATCACTTGGCCAACTTTCTCTAGGCCCTACGTTGGATCTTTGCCAAAAGGCCAAGGAGTGATGCCTGGGCTCAGAAAAAGAGCAGTGTTAGCCCTTGCTAATGTTTGGATGGGAGACCAACAGGAAATCCCAGGCTTGCCAGTTGCCTGGCAAGTTGAAAAAGATACCAAAAGGCAACCTCAATCAGTTCTATACCATTACCAAGGGAACTGCATGGATGGGTCCACGCTGTCACCGAGAGTCAAGCTGCACTAGAGCATCTTTATCTGCTTTCTTAACGCGATAATCAGCAGCCCACAACAAACTACACACAAGATGACAGACTAGGCGAAAAAAACGATGAAGGGAAGTAGCAGGCAACGAATAAGGCGAAGGGAGAGGATGAGAGAGACCATCGGAGTATCTTCGGAGGAGCAACAAGTTCTCAGGGGTGATGAAGGGGCCGCGCATTTGCCGTGTCCGACCCGGGAGCAACTAACTACTCTTGTCCCCCCGGGAAAGCCGGGAAGGGGCTGCGGGAGACGGAAGGAGACTCCAACCCCCCACTGCATTCAATCCTAAATGTGGGGAGAAAAGGAATCCCAATAACAAAATTAAAGACGTGAGAAAGAGAACTCTCCCCCCCGCCTCTCTCGGGCATTCATAACAACGCAGCCGCTACCCCCATACCAACCTACACTCCCATCCGG